CCCCCCCCCCCCCCCCCCCCCCAACAAAAGCCATAGAAAAATGCATGGTTCACAAATTTCCAATCCATGTATGAAATCTCGGCATAGCATGACAAGACCAGCCCAAACTACTATACAAATTTTGGAGGTTAAAATGCGAGCCCAAATAAGAAAATTGCTAAAAGAAATATCAGAAGTGTAAATTCAGTTTGCAAAACAAAATTAGTGTAATTTTAGAGATAGAAACATTAACCTGAATGCCATAGAGAATGATAACACCAATTCCAAGCCAGGAGTGTAAACTATATAAATTGGCAATACTGCTTTCATTGTGATATTTGAATGCGGTGTATATTCCAATAATCCCAAGTATGAGAGCAATAGCATGCAAAACTAAATGGATTAGTTTCTTCTCTGGCTTATTCAATGGGAGGGATTTGTAACTCATAATGGCTGCAGTTGAAAAAAAAAATGAGAGAGAGAACATCAAGCTTCTCAGAGTTGTACATTTTGAGCAAGTTCGATATATATATATATATATATATATATATATATAAACATACTTCAATTACCTTGACCCCCAATGATAATCAACCCTATAAGCATGAGAACCGGATGAATCTGGAGGTAGAAGAAAAGATTGAGTTTTGACATTCACAAGGACGTAATTAAACGAATGAAATTATCAAAATAAACACAAGGTTTAGGCATGGATTTTGTTAAACACAAAGAAGATGTGCAATGTACATAATGAAGATTTGAGTCTAATATTACATATACTTTGTTTTAGGAAGGTTATGTTATTTTTTCGAAAAAGAGAACATTTTTATGGGGCAAAATTTAAGGTTTTGTTTGATTACAACGAATTCCATGGAAAATGTCACGTTAGAGGAAAACGAATTTCACTTTGACCGTTTGATTGCAACGTGAAAATGGAAATCGAATTCTAAGGCACAACCACTTAAGCTGTATTTTCTTTGTTTTCATGAAAAATGAATCTCTATGAATTTGGTAAATTTTTATTTTTCAACTAACATGAAATTGAAATTTATTTCCATCTTTTTCCTATCAAACGGACCCTAAGAGACACATTCCTTGATAAGGAGTGCATAGAAAACTATATATAGACAACATTAGCAAAGAAATCGAACCACCAAAAACTAAAAAATTTCGGTATTTCACACATCTTGAGTTCGTCCTTGCACGGTGTGAATGTATCAATCCCTTCAACCAATATATTGAACCCCTTCCATCCGTGGGCGATTGTTAAGCCCACCAACCAATCTCTCTCTCTTTTTTTTTTCCCTATCTCGAATTCTGGATCTTAGTCGATTCACTCAAGGTATTAGCTTTTGTTTTCATATTGGAAATTCTTTTCGACACAGAAAAATCAAATTCAAAATCAAATAGGATCGGATGCCACATGAATTAGCAATAAATCTATAAATTCTTCTACTTGGATTTTTCTACCTTGCGGATAAAACTCGGAAATGACAAGTTCACTTATTTGTTTCTATTTTTTAAAAAGATATACTAAGTCATGTTTGGTTCGAACTAAAATCTGATTTTATTCCAAGTCAAAGTTAAAAAATCAATATTAACCACGTATTTTGTAGGTCCCATAACTTTTCAATCACACATTCCAAAAACTTCTATCACAATCTACTAAAAATTTAATTTTAATCCCCACCAAACACCCTCTAAACAAAGACTTCATGGCCACTCTGCTTCATGTAAACTTAAAAGGGCTCTTGATAATCTTATCTATCTAATATAATTTCAAATTTCTTTGGATGCAAACCAAACTATTAATTGGATACATCGATAAGGAACCAACTCGTAGATTTCTAGAAGGGCAAAGCGCCTAGCTCTAGTCTCTAGTGACAAGAGTGAAGTCTTACCTAAGTTTGAGCCTCCTTTTAAAGGGAGGGGAGAAATCGTTTGATACTTCGTTTAAGGGCACGCTCACACGGAGGATAAATTATTTTTTCTAGGTTTTCTTAGAATGCAGAGAAGCATAACCTCAAAATTTTCTATATTGATAAACTGATTGAACATATATAGGTTTAGTTGGCCATGGAATCCACTCCCTGATTATCTCTAAGAACTAGTGGTGCTACGTACCATTGTACGACATAAAAGAGGCAGGCATCAGCAGTTAAAACTGCTGGTTTTCCTAGTGATTATGCACACACAGATGAAGATGAGCTTACATTAAAGATGAGACTTTTATTTGAAGCTTCCCATGCTAAACCACCCCTGAAGCCTATACACCAAACAAGCACCATAGCCGCACCAGCGATACCCAGGAAGTGAGCCACAAAAGAGAAACCTAATGCCTTTACTCCAATCGCCATTTTTCCTCTCTTCCCTTTCTTCTCTCTCGATATCTTTGAACAAGGCTATAGTGTGTCTTCTAGAAAATAAAAGAAAACATCAATTTTATAATAAATTTTAATATTGGGGTCCTTTGATGTTATTGCATGTAATTTGATGATGATTTTTAGACCGTTTGATGATGATATTGTTTATCGAATGTGGGTTAGCAGCCACGGATTTTATGATGATTCGAACACGATTGTTGTCTACGTGTAACAGGAATTCTCAGAATTCGTGTCTTTTCTTCCACCGTATTTAGCTTTTTTCTCGTGGGTTGGTAGTTGTACACTTTTCCTTTTTTTTTTTTTTTCCATTTCGTTTTATCATTTCACATGAGTAGTTTGACTAACACCAGCAAAGTAAAATCAATTTTAAGTGACCGTTTTACTTCAAGTGTAATTGCATTTTTTTTTTTTCAAAGATAATTCCTACTTCACATTAAAAATGGCGCATTTCTAAATTTCACACACACACACAACTATTTCTCACTTATTAGCATTATTCAATTTTAAAAAACTGACAACGTGTTGCAGTTGAGTGAATGTTCCTACCACATGTGCATATATGACCAAATTTTACTCTAAAAGAGGAGGAAATTTAAGCACTATGGCCAAAATATATTGAGAAAATCAAAACCATATTTTTCAGGAAATATAATTTAAAGAGACATTCATTAATTAATTAACATTTTATAATTAAAATTAATATTTTTTGTTAGGAAGATACATTACATACTCCTTAGTATGCATAAACAACCAATTCAAAGCACAAAAATACATTACCTGCTCAAAATATAGAACACAAAAGGCAGCAATCAAAGCAGTTTAGTACAAATTTATGTGTTCTTAAACAGACAGGTCGATTTTGGAAATTAGAATCCCATCGGCATCTGCATAAAGCCATTCTCCGTCACAAATTCTGGTCCCGGCTATAGTAATAGGTACGTGTTTGTCTCCGCCGATTCCCCTCTTACTAGCTTTCATTGGATGTGAAGCCAGAGCTCTCACCCCAATGTCACAACCATTTATTTCGTCTACATCCCTTATACACCCGTTCACTACTATGCCTGCCCATCCATTGTTCTGAGCTTGCACCACAGGATTACCACCCAATATTGCACATCTCAAACTACCTCCCCCATCAACAACCAGAACTCTTCCATTACCTTTCTCTTCCAAAAAATCACGAACCAAAACATTGTCTTCAAATACTTTCAGGGTAACGATTGGTCCACATAACACTGGGCGCCTTCCATATATCTGGAAAACTGGCTGGAGTGCCCGGAGCTCACCACTCGCGATAAGCTGTGGATTTGCATCACAAACTTCAGCTGTCGAGACAAAGTCCATCCTAGATACACATTGTTCATAAATAGAAACAAGCGTCATAACAAAATTTCGAACAACATAGTTTAGCTAGAATGTAATATTTGATGACCAGTAGAAATACAAAATAACAAAAACCAATAAAAATGGTAGTTGTGAGTATGATAGAATGAGTAAAGAAGATCTGTAAGGACAAAACATCAAAATTCTTCCGCCGAAGATTCAGTGAAAAAAAAGAGAGAAAAAGAAATGCCTTTCCACGGAGCCAGTTTAATTTGAGGGCACAAATTAAGCCCCCTATTTGAGAACCATTATTTTTAAAAAACAATATTTTGACCGGTGATTTTTAGGAGAACGTGTGTTTAAAAAAGTAGAGAAAAATTTTATATTTACGTGCAGAATATTTTATTGTGTAAATGTGCGATTACAAATTAGTACGTAGAAAAAAAGGTTTTTAAATAATGATTGTCAATTAGCAAAAAATGATGCAACGACTTAATTTTGGGTAGAAGAATGTCAACTAAAGCCACGTCCGATGCTATTCCAAAACACCATTTTGCACCAAAAAAATGGTGCAAACTCTCTCCAACTTAGTACCGCACTTTGCCCCAAAATGGTTAATGTCATTTTTGCCCCTTCTTTCCATTTTGTACCATTTTTTTGTTGAGGGTATTTTGTCCATTTATTTTGTTATACAACAAATTATTATTATTATTATTATTATTTGTAATAAATTAAAATCATGCAATCAATAATATTTAAGGAATGAATTCAATATTTTCACGTAATTATTCATTTAGTAATTTATGTCATAATAAAATAAATAAATTTTTTTATAAATAAATTATTAAGAATAAAAAATGAAGAAAATAATGAAACGCTGTTCATTTGTGCTTTTGAGTTGGAAAAGATTTTTTCAATTTTGTGCCAGATTTAGAGCAAAATAGTGTAAAATTTACATTAAATTTTGTTGCGTGATTGAAGATAGTCTATGATGAGTTAAATAATTCCACATCACTTAGTGGTAGGTAAGATGTATTTCACCGACAGTCCTAATCAAGAGGAAGGATAAACCCTAACTTTTTATGAATACAAGAAGAAAAAGCTAAGCCATATATTCCAAAATTTCAAATTTTAATTACACTATTTTTTCCCTCACTCTAAATTTATATATCTAAGTCCCTTTGATTTAGCTAAAAACTAAATTTTTAGAATATTTTGATAAAATTAATGAAATTTATTTTTAAAAGTTTATGGGTTAAACCTGCAATTAAAAATAATTTTGAACAAAAAAATGAATATCAAACAGGGGTTTAATGTAACAAATAACCAAAAAATATAATAATTATAATGAGCTCTCGTTTGGTATGGATTAAAATGTAGAATCTAAGTCAAAATCAAAATTAATTTGAACCACATATTTTATGGGTCCAATAGATTTTCAACCACACATTTTATCGATTTCTATCAAAATCTACTGAAAATTTGATTTTAATAACGAAAACAGATTTAGAAATAGAGAGCAAGGGTAATACGGGGAGAACTGTTGAATAGCAGTGAGGTTGTACCTTGCAAGCTGTGAATCGTAACTGCCAACTGAAAATTCCAAAGCTTCAGATTTTAAGAGGTCTGGTGGAGGAGGAAAAATTGGATGGCGGCGGAGGATTGGAGATTAGTTGGCAGGCGCGGCGGTGTTGATTTGTGGCATTCAACGTACATTAGCGGCTACTGAGCTATATAAATTGTTATGCATTTATAGCGTAACTTCTAAGATGTATAATATTAAAAAATGACCCGTCGTCACTTACTTCTGAAGACTTTCAAATTATTTAAAGCAAAATTTCTACAAAGAAATATACTAAAAAATGACCTGCTGTCACCTCGTGTGACGCACTTAAATTGCCCATGTGAGTTGTGACAACTTTTGCTTTTTTCGATGTTTTCTTTGATTTCTATATTTAAACAAATTAACATGACTAAGAAACAAAAGAGGGTGACCGACTTTCTAAAAATTAAGGGCCATCTTTGCTGTTTTCAGTCATTTTCAGTTTTCGAAAACACTGAAAATATGTTTACTTATCTACCTATTTTCAGAAAAGAATTTCTAAAAACGAGTTTAAAATTTACAAAGAAAACGAAAAAAGCCAAAAAAATAGTTTTGGCTGTTTTCAGTTAAAATCAAGTCAAAACTTCATTTTTAAATATTTTGAAAATAACAAAAAGAATGCATTTTCAACAATCTCAAAATGGACATTCAAAACACAAGACTAAAAACTAAAAACTTAAACACTAAGAGAACGACCCCTAAAACTTCGCCCAAGTCCAATTTTCACGAATTGATTGTGGACCCCCAATGTTGAATAATTTATTGCGCAGGATCCACCCTCATGTGAGAGGGTGTAAGACTTCTTTAATTTTTTTTTTTTCTCCTGTATGGCAATTTCCTTTATACTATCATACTCACCACTTATTGTCCATGTTGAAAGTTTGAATACCACTAGACACAAATGGACGAATGAGCCCCTATGTACTGTTGAATGAGAAAATGCGTGGCCTTCAATTACAAGGGCATGATGGTCAACTCAACCTCCATTTCAAGGGTGTGAAGATATATAAACAATAAAAATAAGTAGCACGTTATTGATGGAAGATGTGATTGAAAGTGAGTTCTCTTGTCTGAATACTTTATTGAATTGTTCAATTCAAAATGTATCAAATTTCAATGTGCTACGACTTTGTAAAAATTAAGACTTCACCCACATCTAATTTTTGGGATTGATTGTGGACCCCAATGTTGAATAACTTATTGTCCATGTTGAAATTTTGGATACAAGCTCAGCAACCACTAGACGCAAATGGGCGAATGAGCCACTATGAACTGTTGAATGGGAAAATGCGTGGTCTTCAATTACAAGGGCATAATGGTCAAGTCAACCTCCATTTCAAGGTGAAGAGGAAATATATAAACAATAAAAATAAGTTGGACATTATCAGCGGAAGATGTGATTGAAATGTGAGTTCTTTTGTCTAAATATTTTAACGAAATTGTTCAATTCAAAATGTATCAAATTTCAATCATACTACATGTACAGAACGCCACTTTGCTTATATTTGAAATCACATAGATGCTTTGATCTATTTTTTTAGTAGCACCATCTTTAATTGAACAGGGTTTGTGATACATTAGTTCATAATTATTTGTCATTTCAGTTATTAATTATGCACGTGACCAACAAATATAAATTTTTTCAAGGATTAAATAGGTAGGACACCATTTGCTCATATATATCTTCTATATATTAAAAGTGGCTATGAAACGGAATATCTCTTTTTAACGGAAAAACTAACGGAATTTGTTGTTTTAACGGAAAAACTAACGGAATTTCTTGTTTTAATGGAAAACCCATAACTTGAGGTCCAACTTGAATTTATTTAAAACCTTATGGGCTAAAACTTAAAATTTAACCTAATCCATAAATTGCAACCAGTGACCTTAACATATCAAATTTACACAAGAAGCCCCCACCTCCTCAGCTCCCAAAAACAGAAAAAAAACCTTTAATCTTCCATGACCGGAAAACCTTAATGGAGAAGCTCTTCAAATATGTCTGTTCAACAATTACAAATACGTAGGTAGGATTAGTAATTTGGAATCTCATTACTGTTGAAATATTCCTCCCAAAATTCTTAACAGGACATGAAATTGGATAAACACAATCTACATTTCATATAAAGCACAAGCTGAAATCAACCGGTTTCTTTCCTGCTTTTACCAAAATTCTTCAAAAGTTGGGAACTTGAAATTCAGAAAATCCTCTGATTTCTCTTACATTTCATTTTGTCAATTATGCGGCAGTGTGAAGTGTGAACTTATTCGGCATGACTTAGAAATAATTTTGTATTGAACTCTTATTGAATCTGCACGACTTAGAAAAATATTGTAAGGAGTCCTACTTTGAAAGTTGTACGAGGATAGACTTTATGCATCTATTATTTTAAGGTTTCAATTTTCTTATAATGTAAACTTTAAATTGCAGTGGTAATAACCATCGTTGATTCCGGTGATATCGTTAGTTAACAACTTCAATTTAGCCAACTGTTGAGCATGGGAAATTATAATTTGAATAAAGGTGGATATGGATATAGATGTTTACAAATATCAAAGATTACACGATGTAATGTATGCGGGATTCGTAAACACGTATAAATGTCAACTAGCTTTAACCTCGAGTCAATGTCGTCTAGAAACATTACAGCCATGGTCAATGTTACATATCAGATTTCATAGCGAACATATACATTGCATTCAATAATATTATCCGGGATGTGAAAATGCCGGACTGATGTTATGCCAAATTTTTAAAATGAAGAAAGGCAATGGAATGATTTGCAATTTCTTTCCAGAAAAATTATCAAAACTACTACTTGTTCTTTGCCCCAACATAACATCAAGTGGCATTCAATTTGCTGCTGCTGCTCAACCGCCTTGTCTGGAATGCATGGACTATGGACTGACCATATGTGATCCCAATTCAGAGATCTCTAATGAAGAGGACAATGATAGAGACTTGCACAGAACTCCCAACAGCAAGTTGAACCTTATATT